ATTTATTGTTTTTGTCTGACTAGTGTTTTACTTAGTTTGTTCTTTTTTAGTTCCTTAAACTATAAAATTAGATTGACTTAAAATTGTTCTTCTTTTATAATGTGTGCATTTTTAATTATAAATTTTCCTCAAGTTTTGCTGTTCTGTGTTTTCATTTGTGTCAAGGTAGTCTCTAATTTTCCCTGTTTTCTTCTTAGACCCCTTGGTTATTTAAAAGGTATTGCTTAGGGACCAGTAGATGGCATAATGGTTACATTGCTGGACTACCACATCATCAACCATGGTTCGATTCCCAGACCTGGTGGCTTGAAACTCAGGGCGGGTGGATGTGCCCAGAATCCTTAGAGGAGAATGTAGGAGAAGGGCCTGTGGTGTGGCCATCTCTCCTGGGGAGGTGATATCTCACTTCTGTCTCTTTGTGTCTCTCAGGCAAGTACATGTGCCCTATAGCAAAAATCTCTCTCTCTCTGGAAAAAAAAAAAAAAACGCCTCTCCCCTTGGAAAAAAAAAAAAAAAGAAAGAAAAAACAGAAAAACAGGTATTGCTTATTTTCTACATATCTGAATTTTCCTGGTTTTCTTCTGTTATTAATTTCTAGTTTCATTCCATTATGATCATAATAATAGATTATTTTAACCTTCTGAATTTAAGAAGACTTATTTATTTATTTATTTATTTTGGAGAGGTTTTTGCTACAGGGCGCGTGCGCTCGCCAGAAAGATGGAGACAGAAAGTGGGAAATCACTCCTCAGGGGGGATGGCCATGCTGCAATCCCTTCTCCTCCTTTCTCCTGTCGGGATCTTGGACATGCACACGCGCCCGGCATGAGTTTAAGCCACCTGGTCCGGGACTCAAATTACGGTCGACTACATGGGAGTCTAGTGACATAGCCATTACGCTAACTGCTGGTCCCAAGAAGACTTATTTTTTAGCCAACATGTGGCCTATCCTGGTAAAGGTTCCATGTGTACTTGAAAGAAATTTATTGTTGGCTAGAGTGTTCTGTTGGGTCTAATGATAATATATGTACTTGCTCTGTCCATGATTAAAAGTCATATATTAAAAATCTCTGACTACTGGTGGCCCATCAGTGGCAAGCAAGTAAACACAGTGCTCTGCAAGGCACTGCCACGGGGAAGGTTTTCTGTTCAAGTCCGGAAGCCTTCTTGAGTACTCCTGGCACATAGGTGCCCATCGTCCCAGGGCTGGCTGAAGGCTGGAAATCGATTGCAGCATGAAGACCTTGTTGGGGGTTTGTCTCTCTGTCATTCTCTCACTTATGGAAAAACTAAAAACATAAAATCTATTTTCGTAAGTTGTCTATTTTTTCTATCAATTCTGTCAATGGGTGCTGTTCTGTGATGTTTATATGTTCATGGTTGTTATCTGTTCTTCATGACTTGACCTTTCAGCAATATTATTTTGTCTTTTATCTCATAACAATTTTTTACTTAGTCTATCTTGTCTGATATTAGTGTAATTACTCCAGGTATTTTTTGATTACTACTTTTATGGAATATCTTTTCCTCTCCTTTCATGTTCAACCTATATATGTCTCCAGATCTAATGTGAGTCTTTTGTAAACAGCATATACAAGTCATGTGTCTCAGCAGTGGGGATACGTGCAACTGCACACCTAGGCCGAACGGTACACTCTGTTGCTCCTAGGCTGTAAACTTGTACAGCATGGGACTGCTGCACACTATAGGTTGTTGAAACACTGCGGTAAGTATTTATACATCTAAACTTAGGGGAAGTTCAGTAAACATGTTAGAAAAGATAGAAAATAGTACACTTATAGGAAGTTTCCATAAAATTGTTTTTAAGTATTGTTTTAGTGGCATCCCATACATTTGATGTTGTGTTTTTCTTTTCATTCAAAATACTTTTAAATTTTCCTTTGAGCAGTTTAATTAGATGATATCTCTTAGTTTAGTTTTCTTCATGTTCCTGTGCTTGGAATTCATTAAGCCTCTTTGGTCTGTGGGTTTATATTTTTCATCAGATTTTTAAAATTTCGGCCATTGGTTCTTCCTATACATTTTTTGTCCTCCTTTCCTTTCTTCTTTTTTTCATCAAGTTCAATTGTAGGCTACTTGACTTTGTCTCACAGATTACTGATGTTCTTTCCTTTTCTTTGAATCTCGTGTCTCTTTCCTCTTAGGTAGTTCCTATTTTTCCTATCAGCATCCACTGTCTTCTTCTGCAGTGTAGAATTTGTTTTAATCTTATCCAGTATATTTGTTGTCTCAGGCATTGTTATTTTCATCTCTAAAAGTTCAAGGTTTTTTTTTTTTTTTTTTTTTAATATCACTCATGCCTATGTAATCTTTGAATGTGTGGTATACAGTTTTAATTGTTTTTAATGTCCTTGTTTGCTAATTCTAACATTTCTGTCGGTTCTGAATTTATTTAATTTATTCTTTGACAAGGAAGGTAATTCCATTGGTATTTCTGTTGAGTTTGTATTTTCTTTGGTAAAATTCATATGCCATTTATTGCCAGTTTCAACAGCTTTATTGATTACATTACTTAGTTTTAGCTAAGATAACCTTCATAAAATTAGGCAAGTGTGCTTAACATTTTCTGCAAAGGTACTGAACTAAAGATTTTACTTAAAAAGCAGAAAAAAGGTGAGATGACAATTCTGTTATGAGCTCCTTGTCACCCATATGAAGAGGTTGAAAAGGTGGTTAGATAAAATCTGGTAAGTCAGCAAAATCTGGGAACCAGCAGTTAGTGTAATGACTATGTCGCTGGACTCCCACGTAGTCGACCGTAGTTCTCGTCCTGGACCCAGTGGCTTAAACTCACGCTGGGCACATGTGCGTGCACGTCCAAGATCCCGAAAGGAGAATGGAGGAGAAGGGATTGCGGCGTGGCCATCCCCCCTGGGGGGAGATTTCTTGCTTTCTGTCTCTGTCTGTCTCTCTCTCTGGCAAGCGCATTTTCCCTATAGCGAAAACCTCTCAAAAAAAAAAAAAAAAGAGAACCGATCATTGAAGAATTAGGCATGGTCAAGACACAGATTTAGCTTGTGAAAGCTAAAGAGCTCAGTTGCTGTATTTGAAATCCACTAGAGGAACCGAGGGAAGATGAGTAAGGACTTCCTGAGATTAGATTCAGATGTGGTGCCCTTTCAGGCTACCCATTATCTGTCTGCTTTGATAGTAGGACTGCAGTAGGCAGTGTCTCCTGTGGGTGTTATCAGTAAATTCCAGATAAAATATGTCAGAAGAATAACTAGGAAACATTGTTAGTTACTCACATGCAAATTTTTCATGTAACAGACACTAAACATACAAAAGTCAAACATACAAAAATCAAACATATGCAGAAAAACAGGAAATAATAAAAGTGTCAGGAGAGGAAAACGTAAGCATCCTGGGAGCAGTCAATTTCTTTTCTTGGGTACACTAATCAGCTGGGAGCTAAGAAAGGCCAATCTGCTCTTGAACATGCATCTGTGGTTAAGAGAAAAAAATTTCTTTAATACTCTGAAAAACTTTAAGATTTAAACTGTAGAGTATATATATGCAGGCTATCTGTCAGTGACCTTAGTTTAATACCTGCATCAAGTTAGAACCATTCCCCTCTGAATTTTCTCAGGTTTGTTTTATTTTAAAGTAGTGGTAATAATATATAGTTTCATATTGTTTGTGTAGATGGTTCCACTTTTCACATGGCATAATATTTTATCTAGACTTGGTGAATACAAGATTATTTAGTATGTGGTATTTTTTGTATGTTTGGCCGAAAAGAAATTTCATGCTTAGGCTTTCGTTGGACTACATAATCAGCACTTTCCTTTTACCAACGGGCTGCTTATCTTTCAAAGTATGGCTATCAACTCCTTTATCGCCCTAACCCAAAGTATAAAACTTAAAGAATATATATATCTTTGGCACACAGAAGAGCCTGGCATAATGCACGTTCTGAATGTGCATTTTATTACCTAATCTGTGTATGTAATAGATCACTAGAAGTCATCCAAGAATTACTGCTGTATTTCCATATTGGTGACAGGTGTTCTATTAAGCGTTTAGTGTACGAGGATGCTGTTCATCTTAGATGGGGCTGTTCTGAATTAATTGTGACAAGCTAATACGATCTTTTGAACGTTTCTTTCCAAACTTCTTGAGCTAATGTTTTCCCTCTGGCCAGTGCAGTAGACTGCACATTATTTTTGATACTTTGTAAAGACATGTGGGCAGTTACTGTTCATTTAAGCCAGATGGCATGTGTCAACTCCTTTTCCTGGAAAGGGAGAGGTGTTTTTTTGGCTGCTGTAATAAAGCCTTATGTGACTTCTTATGAAGCTCTTTTTCTCTTTACATAAACTAGTACTTACAGAAACTTTTCACAGAACTTTGGGCATACCCTTTTCACTTACGAAGATTCTTAAAGGATTGGGTGTAAATGTTTTTGTTTGCTTATTCTATTTTTGAAATTTTGTAGTAGCAAGTGATCTTTGGTTAGGTTTGTGTAAAACTAATATTTTTCAGAATGAAAACAAAGAATTTATAAGACAAGGAGTGAATGGGCCTTTTATGTTTTTATCAGCCATCCAAACTGCTTACAGTCAAGATCTGAGTTAGTGCTTGGCTGGCAGTGGACAGCACTCCAAAACATGGGGAGCCCTTGGAAGCCGGCACAACCAGCCAGCCATAGTTGTCTCTGTGTTAGTACCATAGTTCTAACTCTTGGTTTTTACTATGCGTAGGAAAATCATCACCTTAAGTTGAATTTTAGTTTCCTTTTGGGAAGAAGTACAGGTAGGTGAATATTTGAATATGTGAATTCTATGAATGTTTGATTATCATTTCTCTTGATTAAATCCTAAACTGCTGAACTGACTTATTTTATCTTCTCATCTAGAACTTTAAGAATTTGGGGTACAAATTTAATAAAGTGGCTTTTCCATTTTCTGCTTTTTTTGGTAGTGAATTTTAAAAGTATATTTTACTAGGAGACTTATCAAAATTTTCATTTCTTCAAGGTGTTGACTTTAAGGTGAAAACAATTTCAGTGGATGGAAATAAGGCTAAACTTGCAATATGGGTAAGTGTTTTCTAAATTTTTTGTTGTTGTTATTGAGATATTTTTGCTATAGGATGAGTGTGCTTGCCAGAGAGACAGAGACAGACAGACAGAAAGCGAGAGATCACCCACCCAGGGGAGATGGCCATGCTGCAGTCCCTTCTCTATTCTCCTTCTGGGATTTTGGGCACGCACGCACATGTACCCTGCGTGAGTTTCAAGTCGCCAGGTCCGGGACTCGAACCATGGTTGACCACATGGGAGTCCACTATGTGACCTACTGGCTCCTGAAATGTACTTTTTATACATACTAAACTTAAACTTTTTAGGGAAGCGGAAGTGATGTGTGTCATGTTCTAGAGGTGGATAAATCATTAGTATTGAATGACTTTTTGGAGCTTTGGTGTTAATTAAAGGATAAACAATAAATAGTTACATATTGGAACTGGGATTGTGAAGAGTCTTTGCATTATTATAAATCTTAAATGTATAATCCCTTCAAAATATTTCAAACTAGAACAGAGTACTAAAAAAGAAATCTCATCTGCCAGAAAGAATCATTGTTACTTATTTCTTTAAAACCTTAAAAAGATAGTTTAAACTAAACTAATACTGAAGGCAGTTGTTGAGGGGAAGGAGAATGAAGTGATACATAGAAAAAATGATTTCCCCTATTTGTTAGTATATTTATAAAATTTGAATTAGCCAACTTCAGATTTATTTTTTAATACCTCCTCTTTCCTTAATGACTCTTAATTTCTTTGTAAATCCAACCATTCTGATTCTAATTGCTCTGCTAACTAACCTTCTTTGTGTTAGTGCTGAACAATGTAACATTAACTGTCAAAAACATCCAAGATGCTTAGTGCCTGTCCTTTTGTTCTCCTTTTCTCCTACCTGTTTGCTACCCACCTACCTACCTGTTCATTGCTGTCTGTCTAAATATGATTGCTAATACAAGCATTTTACATATATTTATAAAAATGTACTTGTTAATATATTAGTTTCCACATATATATCTTAACTTACATATATATGATTATAAAATATATACACATACATACACATGTTCATTACATGGTAAATAATATCAGAACTGATCACCAATCATTAAATCAAGGCATACTTCTTTATGGCAGTTACATGGAGAATACTGTCTGTACATCAATCACAGATTGCAGTAGCAAGTGTTTGTGTGTTATATGGTGTTATTCATCTTTCTAGTGTTCTCTGGGGCATGGTGGCAAAAATGACTGGAGTCCAAAGGATTGCAGCATTAAGTCCATCTCTCTCTGTCTCTGTCTCTAGTGTTCTCTGAGTGGCATGTTATTTCCAACACAAATTTTATCCCAAAATAATAAATAGCGATATAATCATGCATAATGTTTTTACATTAATTTTGTTATACAGTGCTTTAAATGATTTTTTTTTTTTTTTTTGCTATTTGCTTCTCTCTCCCAAATATATTTACTGTCAATCAGAATAGTAATGTCAAACAAGACAATTTGGACTAAATCATAGTAAAACGTTGTGAACAATTTAAAAATATTGGCTTCTTTCTATCTGTACTGAAGTGAGGGTCTGATCTTTCATACATACTTTACATGGTTGATTTATCACCTCTTTCTGCCCTTGCTGCCGCTTCATGAAATGTACGTGTTAGAGTAGGATCTGAGGCTGGACACTTGCAGTGAATTTTTTTTCTCATACAAGAGGATTTGTTTTAAATTGACTCTCTTGTTCTAGTGTAATAGAAAGCCTGGCAGGTATTTTTTTTTTTTTAATTTTATTATGCTAGAGTGAGTGTGTGCAAAAGAGAGAGTGAGGATGCACATGTGAGCCCTCAGCAGTGGGACCTGGTCACCCTGTAATCCCTTGTTCTCCATTCATCCATCCTCATCAGGCTCCTGGGCAGTTGTGCATGCATGCCCAGAGTGATTTGCACTCCCGGGGACTCCAACCACAGTCAGCCATGTGGGATCCAGCCCCTTCCACCCCAGCTCTGCTAAGGGCTGGCCCTGAAGAGACATCTTTAATCTTCACTGTAGGCTTATAAATATTTTTAGAAGATGAGCAACTTCCCCATGACTATAAGAGTAATGTAGGCTCATTGTGAAAAGAATAATTGAGACAATACAAAGTGAGTTGAGATGAAAGTTTATCTTTAACCACTGTATATGTTTTAGTAAACGTCCTTTAAAATATCTAGACACATGTATACTTACTGTTAATGTATGTATAGCTGTATTTAAAAAAATTGAGGGACCAGCAGTTAACGTAATGGCTATGTTGCTGGACTCCCACGTAGTTGACCGCAGTTCGAGTCCCGGACCCGGTGGCTTAAACTCACGCGGGGCGCTTGTGTGTGCGTGCCCAAGATCCCAAGAGGAGAATGGAGGAGAAGGGATTGTGGTGTGGCCATCCCCCCTGGGGGATGATTTCTCGCTTTCTGTCTCTGTCTCTCTCTGGTGAGCGCACATGCCCTATAGCAAAAACCTCTCCAAAAAAAAAAAAAATTGAGATTACATCTTACTTTTTTTCAAGCTGTTTATCCTCTCCCCCAACACCATCACACAATGTGTACATTTTTCTGTGTCAGTAAATATAGAGATATATACATCAGTTTAAATGGCTGCCTGGTCTTCTTTTCATAACTACACTTTAATCAATCCCCAGTATAAGATATTTAAATTGTTACTAGTTTCCTACAAAGAAAAGCAGTGTACTAATTCTGAATTATACTGCTCTAATTGCTTTAGCATGCATAACTAGAAGCAGAAATAATGACATAAAGAATGCAAGGATTTAATAGTGATACTCACCAAAAAACTTAATTTTTCATTTTATAGTTCCATCATTATATTTCTATATTCACTCTGTCCCACGTTAATCTGAACTGTCTTGCTAATTGTCACTTTTACCTCTCTGAGTAATAATTTTATATATATATATGTGTGTGTGTGTGTGTGTGTGTGTATACGTTTTACAAAGATGTCATTACACTTACCACATATATGTATTTTGAAAAGAAGCACAAACAAAAACCTAACATCTGGCTATTTAAGCAATTTAGTTTTTTTTTTTTTTAGATTTTTGCTGTAGGGCAGGTGTACTTGACAGAGCGACAGAAAGTGAGACATCACCCCCCCCCCCGCCCCGGGGGATGGCCACACCACATTCCCTTCTCCTCCATTCTCCTCTCATGATTTTGGGCACACGTACTCATGTACTGGAGTGTTTTAAGTTGCTGGGTCCGGTACTCAAGCCATGGTCGACTACGTGGGAGTACAGCAACATAACCATTACACCATCTGCTGATCCTGAGCATATAAGTTTTACAATTATAAATCTATGGCACAAGTTTTCCCCCAAACTCATCACACCTATTTAAACATTTTTGCATTAATCTAAAAATGTCAATAGTTTAAACTTCTGGCCAAATTAAATGTTCACATGTAAAATATCAAGGTCACATATGATATTTCAACATTTTTGCTATTGTCTTTATTTTTAAAACATTGGGCTTCATGGATATTTTAACTGGAATTGCAGTTCTGATTTTTGTTGTGTTTCATAAAGAGAGTTTTTGAAGTTGATCTCACTGAAGACCAGAGATAATAAATTTCATATTCATTTGCTTTCTGCTAGCTATGGAAATAAACTTATTAAAGTTATGGATACAGTTTATCATGCAGATAGAATGACTTTTTCTCTCTCATAACAAAAAGTCTTGAGACTGAAATATTTCATGCTTGGTTTTTGACTCAAATTGTTTGAGAGTGGAACAGTATTCCATGTATGGACAAATAGCTAATAATGTTAAGTTTCCAAAGTCTCTATTTCAAAATAATGCCTTTTCTTTCTTTTTCCCTTTTTCTAAAATAAAAGAGATAGGGCTGAAAGTTAGTTAAGTGCCTAATGTGATGGAGTTCCAAAATCTGTAATACTGAGTACTTATATTGAACACTTTGAATGCAGCCAATTTATCCTTTGCGTATAAGTGAATAGCTAGGATATGTCTCTCATAATGTTTTGCCTTTTTAAAGTGTGAATTTTTACTTGGTTTTTATGAGTCACATTTTCTGGTATTTCTGTTCCATGACCATATGAACATTTTCAGTTTCTTTCTTTCTTTTAAACAACTGATAATCAGTTTATTCAAATGGTTGCCTTAAGCATCTTCAGTGGTGACTTCAGCCTCAACTCCTGGTTCATACTGATGGAAGTAATCTACTTAACAATCTCAGAAGGTCTCTGCAAATCAATGAGTCACTTGTGAATTCTCATCTGAAAATGATCCCATCTCAGACCCTGTACCACAAAGTGTTTTTCTTGTAGTGATTCTTGGCAGGCATCTGAGCCGTTCTGTTCACTCTGAGGTCCTTTTCCTTTGCACCTCTGACCAAGTCAGCATGTATGTTCTCCAGGGACTTCACACCGCGGCTGGTCAGCGTAATTCTCATTCAGTGAATGGGCACCTCTGGTTTCACGGGCATTTTCCCGGTAACTTTAAAAGCCGTGGCTGAGGTGCAGCTTCCTGACCTACTTGTTCCTCAGTGACAGTGAACAGTGGTGAGTCAGGAGTAGGAGCCGCTGACTAGAGCTCGTAGCACCTATGTCCACGTCTTCCTCAAAAAGCCACTTTTTAGCTTATTGATATACATTGCCACTTTCTTTCATTTTTTTTCCCCTTAACAGAGATTTGTGCTATAGGGCACATGTGCTTGTCAGAGAGACAGAAAAGAGGAAATCACCCCTAAGGTGTATGGCCATGTTGCAGTCCTTTCTTTTGGGATTTTGGGTGTGCATGTGTGAATTTCAAGCTGCCAAGTCTAGGACCTGAACTGCAGTCCTCCATGTGGGAGTCCAGCAATGTAACTATTATGCTAGCAGCTGCTGGCCTGGCCCACTTACTTTCTAAAAGTAGTGTTTTTGTTAAACATGGAAGTTAGGTCATCATGGCTTCCAGTTGATTACTTTTTCTGCAAACTCGAGTCTTGATCACTTGATCATAGTCATCAAAAAAGACTACTTGGCATTTATGTAATAGTTTATTAATAATTATTGAATTATAATGTTAACATATATCATGTTATCAAAATTATAATCTGCTTTAGATAGGAAGTTCATTTTGCTTCATGTAATTTTTTAAAATTAAGAATTACTTATTTAATTTTATTTATCATCATTATTATTTTTTTTGGAGAAGTTTTTGCTATAGGGCACGTGCTCTTGCAAGAGGGACAGAGAGAGACAGGGAGACAGAAAGCGAGAAATCACCCACGCCGTAGTCCCTTCTGATCCATTCTCCTCTCAGGATCTTGGGTAACGCATGCACATGCGCCGGCATGAGTTTAAGCTACTGGGCCCGGGACTTGAACCACGGTCAACTAGATGGGAGTCCAGCAACATAGCCATTACGCTAACTGCTGATGCCTATCATTATTATCTTTTAATCTGATACATACACTCGCCAAAGAGAGACAGACTGAGAGAAAGAAAATGAGAAAGCAGACTGCCAGGTCCAGGACTTGAACTGTGGTCAGCCATGTGGGAATCCAGAATTCCAACTGCCATGCCACCTGCTGGCCCCCACTTTATGTAAATTTTAATTTATATTGCTCTTGAAAAGTTGAGTAAATAGGCAAATTGAATAATTTTAATTATCAGGCATGTTTTAGTTTGACTTAGAATTTTTGAAAGGAAAGAAATAATTTTTTAATCCCTTAAATTTGTCTGTTTGGAAAGCTTAATTTTAAATCTGTTATTTCTTAAACATGGCATGGGTGGGAGTTAGTTTCTGTAGTGATGAGAATTCAGAGCTGTAACATTTGGCCTTTATGTAAGTGAATCTGTGGAAGAATAGTGAGTGTTTAAAGTGGTTTACATTGAAAGTTATTTTTCTGTTCTTCTGGGGCTATAAATTACCTCAAATACTCTCCATTGTCTTAAAACATTCTCTACTCTGGCCATGCCAAGAAAGTAGGTATTGCTGGAACCCCTCATTGCTGGTTTCAAATTCTTTTCCAGTCTTGTAAACCTCTTAGAGCCTATTAACACTTTTTCTTCTTATCCTGTATCAGAACTCCCATTTACAACAGTGGTGCTGGAAACTAAACTAAGGATTGATAAATGTCTTTTCTTTTCTTTCTTTCTTTCTTTTTTTTTTTTTTTTTGAGAAGTTTTTTTTTAAATTTAAGTTAATTTATTTATTCATTTATTTAAATTTGACAAGACAGACACACACACAGAGAGAGAAGGAAAGTGAGAAAGCAAGCCACTAGGTCGAGAACTCAAACCTTGGTCAGCCACATGATAGTGTCCAGCAGCTTAACCGCCACACCACCTGCTGGTCTCTGTGGAGAGGTTTTTGCTATAGGGCATGCGCACTCGCCAGAAAGACAGAGACAGAGAGACAGAAAGCAAGAAATCACCCCCCCCCCCAGGGGGGATGGCCACGCCACAATCCCTTTTCCACCATTCTCCTCTTGGGATCTTGGGCACACATGCACACGCACCCAGCATGAGTTTAAGCCACCGGATCCGGGACTCAAACCACAGTCGACTACATGGGAGTCCACCGACATAACCATTATGCTAACTGCTGGTCCCTCTTTACTTTTCTTTAGGCTACTTTACATCAATGCACTGTAAACTTTTTCTCATAGGACAAGATAGTTAAATATTTAGTCTAGCCCTTCCATAGGCCATAACAGCAGTACTTCAGCAAATGGCCCTGTCTGTGTTTCAATAAAACTTTATTTAATAAAACCTTATATAATATAACTGGGGGCAGGCCAAGGCAGTCAGTTTGCCAACTGCAGCTTTGTATAATCTTAGGTCCCGTGAAACCACAGTCCAGGGATGGTGGGAAAAAGATAGCGAGAAAGAAGCAGGCCCAGAAATAGAAGCTGGTTAGATTAGTTCACTCTGTTTTTGTTTTTCTCTAGCAAATTCTGAACAACTACCCTATTGACCAGAATTGCTCTGGCCACTGGGGTTAAACTAGTGATGAAATAACTGAGATCCTTATCCTCGTGAGGTTCACATGTACTGAATGTATATCTTTTTATTTTTTTTTAGAGGTTTTTGCTATAGGGCACGTGTGCTCGCCAGACAGACAGAGACAGAGAGACAGCGAGAAATCACCCCCCAGGGGGGGATGGCCATGCTGCAATCTCTTCTCCTCCATTCTCCTCTCGGGATCTTGGGCACACACGGACACGTGCCTGTCGTGAGTTTTAAGCCACCGGGTCCAGGACACGAACTGCGGTCGACTATGTGGGAGTCCAGCGACATAGCCGTTACGCTAACTGCTGGTCCCCCGAGTGTATATCTTTTGTTGTTTATTAACCTTTACAAGAATCAGAAACAACATGTAGCAAGAGGTGGTTTGACTTACATGTTTTTCTAAAAGAAGACACATAGAGAACTTACTTAAATGAGCCCAATGTAAAAATTTCTTACCGAAAATAAGACACTCATGTAAATTCTCTTTAAAAATCAGTGGTTCTGAGCCTTGGTTCTACATTAGAAGCATATAGGAAGATTTCCGTCATTATGCTAGACCAATTAAATCAGAATATTTGGGGGTTGGCTACAAAGATTCCCAGTGTCATTGTGCAGCCAGAGTTGAGAACCATGGCTTTCCATGAATGAATTTCATGCGTGATAGAGAACTTAAATCCAAAATGGTAGAAAACTTTACTTAGTTGTGTGTTTCTTAGTTGTGTCAGTGTTTATTTCTTTAACACTTAATAGTGAGAGAATACATCTTATTTAAATTATAGGTTTTTAATGAGTTTGTGTGTTGATATTATTTTTAATAATTCTCTTTGACTTTTTGTTCATAAATTAGTTATTAAAGATCTATTTTTATGTATTTTGTTTTACTGAATTATAATTGATTACCACTTTTAGGATACTGCTGGTCAAGAGAGGTTTAGAACCTTAACTCCCAGCTATTACAGAGGTGCACAGGGTGTTATATTAGGTAAGTTTTCCCTTACTACACTGTTTAAAATATTACTGTGTATTGGAATTTCTTATTATCTTAGTTTGTAAAGGTCAGTTTCTGTTTTTGTTTGTCTTTAGGGCTACTTTTATGTACACTGAAGTTATATTTTATATAGTAGTAATGAATATTAAAACTTTAAGATTTATTTTATAGCCTTTTATCAATTAAAAAATACAGACAAAACTAATTTCTTTGGCTTAAAAGTACATGTTGATGAGGACATAGCAGAGGATTAATCCAGATATTTGTTCTGCTTTGGAATATTTCCAGAAATTGGTCTTTAGGTATCAGCATTTTATATGCTGTAGTTTGTAAAGGGAGAATATTTGTTGCCTAGCAGGATTTGTTTTATCAGTCTTAAAAATAGCACAAAACACTTAACAGTTTGGATTTATAATCAAACTAAATTTAAAAACCAAATCGAATTCTCAGTATGATTTGTTGAAAAGTGTTCTTAATATTTCAGGGAAACTGTTTAAAATAAGCACTGATTAATTGCAGGAAGAATTTCCTTTGTTATGTAATGATTTGATAGGACGTATTTTGGTTCAGCCTCTCCTTCAGTTAATAAGCCCATCACTGCACTGCAGGAGGAGGTATGAGATCACAGTGGTAAGAGGGGAAGGCCATCAGAATCACAGCCCACTGTATTATGATTTCTTTAAGTTGTAAATTCTGTTGCTTCAAGGAAAAAAATTAACAGGGTCATAGATGTTTTAAGTACATATGAAATTTTTTTGATATTTTGCCATAGATTTGAATATAAACACTCTGATTTTTGGACATGCTTCTTTTATAATTGTGAATAGGAACAGCTGCTGTTTTGCTTTAATTGATTTTCAGTTATAACACAAGATGTAATTTCATTTCTATCACAGTATGTGCTAATAAGATTGAAATGTGCGTGCATGTGTGGTTTTTTTTTAAACACTTGTTTCTTCCATCTGGATCAGTAGACACTCATTTTTAAGCATTAAAGGCTTAACAAAAACCAGACTTGCCTATATAGTAATTTTAGCTCCAAGCTACATATTAGAAAGATAATGTCATTGCTTCTTATTTTTAGTACATATTTAATAAATGACTCTTTCCTTTTATTTTAGTTTATGATGTCACAAGAAGAGACACCTTTGTTAAACTGGATAATTGGCTAACTGAATTGGAAACATACTGTACGAGAAATGACATAGTAAACATGTTAGTTGGAAATAAAATTGATAAGGTAGGATGGCAGTCACTTGGCGTTTTGGTTGTATATTTTAGTAGCTTTTTTTTACTCTTTTTTTTTTTTTAATAAGGTTTTTGGCATAGGGCATGTATGCTTGTAGGAGAGAGATAAAGAGAAGGGAAGTAAGGAATCACCCCCTAGTGGGGATGGCTATTCAGCAATCCCTTCTCCTCTCTTCTCCTGTTGGAATTTTGGACCCCCCCCCTCCCACACACACACACACACATGCCTGGCATGATTTTCAAACTACCATGTCCAGGACTTGAACCGCAGTTGACCATGTGGGAGTCCAGTGCTTTAACTACCATGCCACTTATTGGCCCCTTGGTAGCTTTTTTTAATCATTGTGTTTTTCTTTTAGGAAAATCGTGAGGTTGATAGAAATGAAGGCCTGAAATTTGCACGAAAGCATTCCATGTTATTCATAGGTAGGTGTGTGAATAAATAGCCGTGCTTTTGTTATTAATGAAGAATTTTAAAATGGAATTTTGGCTAAATTTATTTATTTATTTTTTGGTGAACCATCATATATATTTACTCAGTTACTAGTCACTTTCCACTACAAAATATAACTATAAGGTTCTTTTTCTTGCCGTAAAAATACATGAGAGTCAACTTATGTAAATTCATGTGGAACAGTCACATTGTTCCTCCGAGAACATGATGGATTGAGTGACACTCGGGTCCCAGTGCTAAAGTTGCGCCTTGCTGATCCACATGCTGGCAGTGTTAGCACCACCTGAGAGCTTGCTAGAAACGCTTCATCTGAGGCCCTAGCCCAAACTCTTAGAATCTGTGCTTTAACATGATCTTCATATGGGTTGTGCGCACATTGACGTTTGAGAAGTGGGAGAACAGGAATGGCAAAGGACAGCGTGAACCTGATTGGACCCGCTGTTTGTATTGGAACACAGCCATGCCCGTTCATTTACATATCGTCTGTGGCTGCTTTTGTGGTAGTGACCGAGTTCAGTACTTACAAAAGAGGCCACGTGGCCTACAAAGTCTGGTCCTATATGGAAAAGTTCGCCAACCCTTGTCTAGAAAAGTGAACTAGCTATATCAGAATCACCGGGAGAACTGGTTTTTTTTTTTTTGCCATAGGACACATGCACTCATTGGAGAAAAACAGACAGTGAGAGAGAAAATGAGAAATCACCCCCTGAGGGGGTGGCCACTCCCCCAGTCCATTTTCATCAGGATTTTGGCCTTGTGGGAATCCAGCACCTCACCCATCATGCCACCTGCTGGTCCCTCACCTGGGAACCTTTTAAAAAAGGTACCTTTGCCATATCATTGGTCTGAAAGGCAGTTTATTAAAAATACCCTAATTGATTCTGATGTGAATGAAGCCGCTTTAGGAATTACTGTTAAGTTCTGCCATGGTTTTAGAACCCACTAAGAATCTATCTGCAAATGGAAAAGGGAGACCGTCCGGAGTAGACAGAAACTGGGTGGACTAGAGATTTTCAGAAAGAAATGGAGCACTAATTTTACTGCCTACTTGCTGTCTGTCCCTCATTTCCAAACATTTCCTCAGTGTTTATTGAACATAGAGGGTAACAGGAAACAAAACAGACCCTTACCTCGTGGAGCTTACATTTAAGTAGGGGAAACAGGCTTTCATAGGTAATTAATGCTGTGAAGGAACTAGCATGTTGTAAGCAGAGGGAGAATGACGGGGGGGAGGGTAGGAGAAGTTCTTTGAGGTGATACTGTTTTGAGCAGAGTTCCAGCACATGGGAATCTGGAAGGAGATCATCTTGGGCTTCTCAGGGAGAAGGAGCAGCAAATGTTTCTGCAGGTAGGAACCAGCTTAGTGTGTTCAGGGAACAGGAAGGAAAGCCCGTGGCCTGGAGCAGAGTGTGTGTTGGGGAAAAGGCTGATGGTGTTGGGAGATGAGATGGAAAAGGTCACATGGGACCTCATAAGATACAGAAAAGACATGGGATTTCTTCCAACGGAGGGGGGGGGAGGCAGGGGAGTAGTAATGTGTTCTGAAACTCTAAAAACAGCCATTTGTGTAGAAAATGGACTATGAGAACAGAAGCAGACTAGCTCTTCTCTTGCAGCCGTCCAGATGGACGAGGCTGGGGCTTTGACTGCGTAGTAAGAGTGGGAGGTGGAAGTTGGCAGTGTGGGAGATAATTTGAAGGTAAAGCTGTCAAGATATGTGGATAGATTGGGTGTGGAGGATCAGGAGAGAGAATAATCAAAGACAACTCCAGGATGACAGCAAGAGCAACTCAAGGATTATGGTGCTATAAATTGGACGTGGAAGACTGAGATGAAAGCAGGCTTGAGATAGGGGATTGGAGAATCATGCATTTTTCTTGGATGTAAGAATGAGACTTTTTTTTTTTAAGAGAGATTTTTGCTGTATGGCATGTGCACTCCTTGGAGAGACAGAGACAGAAAGTGAGAAATCATCCCCCAGGAGAGATGGACACGCTGCAGTCTTTCTCCTGCATTCTCTTCTTGGTGTTTTGGCATGCACCCACATGCATCCAGCATGAATTTTGAGCTTTCGTTTTAGGACTCGAACTGTGGTCAGTCATGTGGGAGTTCAGTGACATAACTGTGTGCTATCTGCTGGTCCTAAGAATGAGACTTTTTCAGATAACCAGTGGGCATTCTAGTCATGGCACTTAGGATGGCACTTAAGGGCCTAGGATTGGTGTAGTCACTTCAGAAAGTAATGTGGATAGAAAAGGGCTGATGAGTGAATCTTGGATACTTCAGCAGTTAGAGGAGGTTGGCAGGAAGAGGAACACCAGCAAATGGGGCTGTTCTAGGAACTAGAGACGAGGGTGACTTCAGGTAACAGTGTTGTATTCAGGCAGAGTGAAAGGTGCACGTGTAGGTAGGTCAGTGAGTTTATTAGCGAGATGATCAGATAGTTCTTGCCAGATTGCTTCCATTTTTGTTCATATAAAGCTAGTTTATGAGCTGAGACAGAGGAGTTTTGAGAAGAATAAGTCATTGCAGGCAGTGAGTGAGAAAAGTCACCACTAGAAAAATTAGCTTAGGAAGCAGTACTGAGTATCCAGTTGAATTTCATGAGCATATGGGACACTGTTCCTGGTCATGTGCATTTTATCCAGCCATGTGTAATTTTGTGGTTGTGGGCACAGGGTAATCAGATTGTTTAACATGGAGAATGAATTTTCTCATTTTAAAATGAAACTAATACCTGCTTTGGGCTAGTTTGAAGAATTTGCTAGAAACTTAAGGAAAAAGCTATAACATCATGTTTGAGTAGGGCTTTACAAATTACAATTCTGTCATGAAATCCTGGGCTTATATACACTAATATTTTTTATGGATAGAATTTAAATAGCTCAATTTTGAGAGTTGGGGTAAATTTAGTAATAATTAAAGTTGTGAGTAGAAATTGCTTTGTTGGCTTTGATATGTTGCAGGCTAATATTTATAGTTTCCCAGAAAACCATGGGAATCTGGCCAGAAAGGAACATGCTATGACTTTTTTCCTTGAATTTCAGAGGCAAGTGCAAAAACCTGTGACGGTGTACAGTGTGCCTTTGAGGAACTCGTTGAAAAGATCATTCAGACACCTGGACTGTGGGAAAGTGAAAACCAGAATAAAGGAGTCAAACTGTCACATAGGGAAGAAGGCCATGGAGGAGGAGCCTGTGGGGGTTACTGTTCTGTGTTATAGACTCTCGGATATCCCATCTCTTTCAGACTTGATCAGATAGTGACATCTTTCTGTATATAAACTCTCTAACTGCTATTTTAGGGACCTCGCAGTTTGCACACAATTGTTTTGTATCATGGCAGTAAATATTTGCAAGAAATCCCACTCATCGGCTTTCCCAGGTAAAATGTTATGGTAAGCATGCAGTCTGCAGGTTTTTATGTAACATAAAATAGGTGTACCTGTATAAGTACATTTGATTTTATGATTTACATTTATCATGTAATTTTTAAAAATCCATCTATCTAGTATATGTTGATACAAGATCTGCTTTCAGTCTCCTTTTTGCATAAATGCTTCTATCAATTACTAAATTACTTAATATGTAAAACTCCTAGGACCATGAGGAGGAAAACTGATATCAAACCTGGCAAATTTCTTTTTAGAAATAACAAGGAGCATGATTCCACAGCTTTTCTAGGATTTTAAGATTCTTTTTTAGTACTAAGCAAAATTCTCATTACAGAACATAGCCCAGGCCAATTTATAATTAAATCTCTTTGTTCTCGTGATGCTTCTAAAATAGCATTGATACATTAAAGAAGTTTGGTATTTTTAATTTACCACCACAATTAGTTCAGTTGTTTAACTGGGAGTTCTAATCCTGTGATATGTACATTGGATTCATAAGCTTTTGTGTAGCCTGTTTCGTTATGTGATGCTTGGTAGAATGCTAGTAGGGTTTTCCCATTTTGGTTTCAGAAGGACTTGAGTAGTGTGTTTATTGTAACTCTTCTAGTACTCACCACTTTGAAAAACAACCTCTCTTTTCATAAATACTGGTAGTGTTTATTCAGGTATGTCCATTGTAGCTTGTATAATGTTTATGAATATCTGTATCTTATGGCTTCCAGAAATGGCTAGTTGATATTCAGAAACCTTTTTCTGTGTTTTAAGGGGCGGGGAAAAACACTAAATGACAATTTGGGAAAGGCATATTGCTTTCAGATTCTGATATGTGTGGTAAAATACTGTTGCAATGAAAATCTTGATACTTCACTGAAACAAGTAATTAAAAGTTTATCAGAACCAGTGTACAGACTAATAAATCTTTTCCACAGTATTCAGTTTTCTAACCTCTATTGTATGTTGAATATTTTTTCACTTGTATATTATTTCATTTACATTGATCTCTGTTATTTCAGGCTCCCAAATAAGTAATTGGTCCTGATGGGCCACTGTAATACACTCAGTAAAATTCTGATCTTAATCTCTGGGCAGTTCTCATATACAATTATAAATGTGTATAGAGTGACCTTCGCAATATATGTATGAATGATTTACTTCAAGTTAGGTTTTTTCTGAAATGTGTATCTTCACATTTGAAAACCTCATATCTACTTGATTTACACTTGTTAATCCTCATTACATGTGATTAAAGGTTTTATACATTCTGTATGTTTTTACTAAATATGAACCATTTCCTACTTAATGTTGAGAAAGGTAGCTAACACGTGTACTTATGATTTGTTCATGTTACATTAAACTTCAGATATGTGTATTTATGTAGAGTGTATTGACAAGACTGTTTATTGCTTTTTGGTCATCGAGCTACATAGTAACCATTCTGTGCATTGGATTGTCCTGATGTGGTCACTTGAATTTGGTCACTTTGAACTCGAATCCACAAGGGTCACTTGAATATAACTTTTAAAAGTTGATTTTGTTTGATAGATTTATATTGTAACCTTTTATAGTTTTTGAATAAATGTAGCCTGCTTTCCCTAGATGCATTTGTGGAGGAAGTATTATACCTTTGCTGTTATTGCTCTCATCAGCTGAGGAATATACCATTGTTCAACTTCTGTTACATTATGCTCTGGCTTTCATTTTACTATTTGGTTGCAAGCCAAATGTTTTATAACCTTTCATAAGTGAGATGTCATAAGTGAGATAGTTATAATATCTAAAATCAAGCACTTACATACCTGAAGCTTCTATAAATTCTGAATGATTTTAAGTAGACTAAAAGGGCCTTTTGCAGGTGGCAGAAATGAGAACAATTAAAAAATACAGTATTTTGAGTTCCAGGAATTCCAGCATAGATAGACCTGAACAAACAACTACCAACTTATGAATAATAGTTGCATTTAGTAAATGTTTTCTTGTTGCCAGGAGCCATTCTGACTGTTCAGTTATCTCATTAAACCTCATAGCAGCGGGGAACCAGCAGTTAGCGTAATGGCTTGTGTCGCTGGACTCCCATGTAGTTGACCGCGGTTCACGTCCTGGACCCGGTGGCTTAAACTCACACCAGGTGCGTGTGTGTGTGCCCAAGATCCCGAGAGGAGAATGGAGGAGAAGGGATTGTGGCGTGACCATCCCCCCTGGGAGGTGATTTCTCGCTTTCTGTCTCTGTATCTCTCTCTGTCTGTCTGGCGAGTGCACGTGCCCTATAGCAAAAATCTCTCAAAAAAAACCCAAAACCAAAAACAAACAAACTCACAGCAGCAGTAAGGTTGGTACTGCCACTATGCTCATTTTGAAGGCGAGGATAGGAGGCCAGCTGTGTTGGCGCCGTCCACGATGCTGAGGCCTCATGGGAAGGTCCTGTGTTCACCTACCGAGGTCTCCCTGTTTGTGTTCGGTGCATACATACTTGCCCGCAAATCTGGTGGGCTAAGGCTGGGGGTGATCATGGCTGAAGTGCCTGCCCTTCTCATGGAATCAATAAACAATAAAAAAGATGAAGATAATGGAACATAGGTATGTTTGGTGACATACCAAAGATGATACAGCTGATCAGTGAACTGGCTGGAGTCCAGCCAGGGCAGTTTTGAGTCCTGAGTCTTTACTCTTAACCATTGCTCCCTATACTCTGGCTCGGTACTAGCTTTTTATTTAAAAAGCTGAGGTAAAGGACTCCCTGTATTTCTTTTCTCATTCTCTTTTGTTTTATGTATAGAAATATTTCAGAGTTATTTGTTACCGGATAAATCCCCTTGATATAAACCTGCCCTCTAAGTGATTTGACTTAAAAATGAAGGTAGTCTCAGGTGGCGTGGTGGTTAAGGCACTGGACTCTCACATGACTGACCACAGTTTGAGTCCTGGACCGGGCAGCTAGCTTTCGCACTTTCCCTCTCTCTGGTCAAATAAAAAAAAAAAAAAGAAAAAAAAACAGAAATACAAATAAAATTAAGTAAATTTTTAAAAATTGAGGTGGCGGAGTAGTAGGTCTTTTTCATTCTTTTATCTTCCCAGAGTGAAATGAAAATCTTACTTAGAAAAGGCACAAAGATAGGGGACTTACGGTACTTCGTAGATGAAAAAAAATTTAGGTTGGACAGTCTTTTGTACAAAATCAGTATCTGGGGAATAGTTTTAAGCACTTAGTTGCTAATCTACAAACACACTTGATGTTGATACTCTAATTGAGTGCAGTAGAATTAGACCCGATTCATTGTATTAATAGTTTGCTTACTCAAGAAATATACATGATTGTTTACTAAATATAGCTCATAAGAGAATCATTTGTACACTAGTACTTATTCTACCTGTGGGATGGCACAGACTTACTTCAGATCCATGCTATCTTTAAGAACAGTTTAGTGTGTATTTTTTCTTTTTTAAGGTCTTTGCCATAGGGTGTGTACACTCACAAGAGAGCTACAGAGAGAGAGTGAGAGGAGAAGTGAGAAATCACCCCCTAGGGAGGATGGCCACACTGCAATCCCTGTTCCATTTTCTTCATGGGATTTTGGGCATTCACACACACACACCCAGCAAGATTTTCAAGTTGCCAGGTCTGGGACTTGAACCATGGTTGGCCATATGAGATTCCAGTGCCTTAACTAATACGCTACCCGCTGGTCCCAGTGTCTTGTTTTTCTAACTGTAAATTTTTCCAGTGAACTGGGTTGACAGTCCTTTAGATATTATAAGTTAGTGACCTCCATATTCAAGCATTATGTTTTTTTTTTTTTAAAGAGGTGTTTTGCTATAGGGCGTGTGTACTCATTGGAGAGACAAAGACAGAAAGTGAGAACTCATCCCCCAGAGCGATAGCCATGCCACAATCCCTTCTCCATTCTCTAGGGATTCTGGGCACACATGTACACACGCCCGGTGTGAGCTTCAACCATGGTCGACCACGTGGGAGTCCAGTGACACAACCATTATGCCATCAGCTTGTCCCTGCTTCTATATCTTGAAATAAATTTTTCTTCAGTAATACCAAGGATGTTTTTTGTCTTTCATGTGCTTTCCTTAGTTAGGTATAAGGGTAGAAGTTAATTAGGTTTTAGATCTTTTGTTGGTTTTGATTTCAACCTTGTTCAATTATAGACTTCATTTTAGGTGAAGTCTAAAATGTTAAAAGGAGGATAAGTGTTGATAAGCGAACTCAGGTTATAAAGCTAAGGACTATAAAATTACCCAGGAGTTATTATTTATTTATTTATTTTTATTGGGAACTTTTGTGAGCCTAGAAGACAAAAAATGTTGACTTAGTCACACTTGTTACAAGGCTTTAAGTTTTACTGTTTTCTCACTAGGTTATAGTTTCATATTTAGGAATCAGTAATGTGTCTGATTGTGAACGTTTGCTTAAGTACCACTTAAAGTCGTTTCATAGACACACATGCATGTGGTGTGCGTGCACACATTGTCAGTAGTGAATCCCATGCTCAGTCTTACCGTCTCTTTCATACCCTTACAGGTTATTTCTTTTTCTTTCTTTTAACCTGATAAAGCAAAAAATGACCTAGTCCCATTTCATTTCGTTGTAGTGAAATTGATCACTTTTCTGGCTTTATTGGATATTTGTATTTCTTATTTCTATTTGTGTTGTGGTTCCCCTCCAGCATCTACTTCATTCTCTAATACTAGCCCACCCCCTTTTTCTCTGTTTAAAAGTCCAACCTGTCCCTGCAAATCATCACGTGTGTGGTTTGGGTGGTATTTTCATATGCTTGGCATTCTGGATTGGTCCAGTTATCTTTAAAACATCCCCCCACCCCCATAATAAATGGTTCAGGGACAGGCTGAGACTATGAGACTGCTGAGATATGAGGTACTTCCTGAGGCTTCTTCAGGAACTTGAATCCGGCGTCTGGGAGATAGCGTGCCGTGAGGAGTCCTTCTGAGTTGCTGTAGCTGATTGTTCCAATCTAGAGGAGCCAGCCCGAGGCTGAGGCGTCTAATTGGAGCCCTGATGATAGATTGAACCTGAAGTGAGATCTAGTTCTGGACTTTGACTTATTTGCGACAATTCTTTGTTGTTGTTGAAGCCATTTGACTTGGATTTCTTTTTTTTTCTTGCAACCAAACCTATACTTTGTGAAGTATGTGTGTGGCTTTTTTATAAGGTTCTTTGTACATCACGTTCAGTATATTTGATGTTTAAAGGCAAAAAGTGAACTTACTACTTGAAAGCCATTTACTCTTATGTAACTATTCACCTTTTACTGAGGTTGGTTTTTTGTATTTCTTTATGGATATATACAAAGCTGCAAATGAGTTAACTTCATACATGCTGTTTTTAAGGACCCCTAGATTTATTAGGGTCTCTTGTTTTTTGTTTGATACCTTCTGTCAGGGCCATCGTGTGGCTAGTGGTTAAAGCAGTCAGATCCCACATGCCACCATAGTTTGAGTCCCAGACCCAGCAACTTGAACGACGTGCCAGGCATATGTGCATGTGTGCCCTAAATTCCAACAGGATGGGGAAATTAAGGAGAAGGGATTGTGTTATGACCACACCCTTTAGGGGGGTTGCCTTCTTCCTCTCCCCTCTGTCTATAGTGAGTGCATGTGCCTTCTGGAAAATTAAAGAAACAAAGCAAAAAACCCCAAACTGCTGTCACTTGAGCACTCCCTGGCACCCCTCCTCCTCCTGTGTCAATGTTACAGCTTGTGTAGCCTTTCTGCATTTCTCTGTTCCTCTTTAATCATAGACAAATATATCTGTGTGTGTGTGTGGAGACAAACAGAGATGGTGAGAGGGAAAGTAAACACCCCCCCACGGGGGACGGCTATGGTGCAGTCCTTTCTCCATTCTTCCCCTGGAACCTTGGGCATGCACACATATACACCTGGCATGAGGTTCAAGCCACTGGGTCTGGGACTCAAACTGCAGTCAATCATGTGGTGGTCCAGTGATGTAACCACTACACCACCTGCTGCCCCTGTGTGTAAAATTTTTATATTTTGTTGACATTTTTTAAATATAATGAGTACATTATTTTATAAAAATAAGATCATCTGCATATTCATCTCTTCATGTTGCCTTCTTTTTTTTAGAGGTTTTTGCTATAGGGCGCATGCGTTCGCCAGACAGAGACAGACATAGAGACAGAAAGCGAGAAATCACCCCACCAGGGGGGATGGTCACGCCACAATCCCTTCTCCATTCTCCTCTCGGGATCTTGGGCATGCACGCACATGCGCCCGGCCTGAGCTTTAAGCCACCGGGTCCAGGACGTGAACCGCAGTTGACTACGTGGGAGTCCAGTGACATAGCCCTTACGCTAACTGCTGGTCCCCCCCCTCCTTTTTTGAGAGGATTTTTGATATATGATGTGTGCGCTCACTGGACAGAGAGAGACAGTCCGTGAAAAATTACTGCCAGTGGGCATGACCACACTCCAATCCCTTTTCCATTTTCCTCCCGGGATCTTGGGCACGTACTCACATGCATCTGGCGTTGAGTTTCAGGCTGCCATTTTGGGGACTGTGTCCAGCAATGTAACCACCATGCTATCGACTGGACCCTTTGTGTTGCTTTCC